GGACATTCCACCCCACACCAGATCCCTCCATCAGGGTGGACCTGCTGGAGACCCCCCCAGGCAGAGGATGGGCACTGCCCTGATAGGGACATGCTACTCCTGCAAAGGGGGTGCACCCTGAGCAGCACCCCCCAACCTTGCCAACACCCTGACCCCAGTGCCCACTCCCACCAGGGGACACAGGTCCTCTCTAGAAGACCCCAACTGCAGCCACCCCCACACAGTCCTCCAGCCTTGGCAAGAATGTGGCTGGGCACCTTGCTGGGGGGCAGGGTTGAGGTGCTGCAGGGTGCATCCCATGCTCCACCATCGCCGGCACTGCTCAGCTCCCCAGAAACCAGGCTGGCCCTGGGGTTGGCGTTCATGCCTGGGTGGGGGAGAGTGTCTTGTGCCTTCATGTCACAAGGCTGAAGGATGGCAATCACTCCTCCACAGTCAGGGCAGGGCAGGTCTCTGCAGGTCTTAGGGACATTCCCCATCCTCACCCTAGGAAACACTCTGCCGAGGGCAGGGGGTCTTCTCCACAGGACACATTGCCCCCTCAGCCACAGCCTTTCAGCCACGCTTCACCAGTAACAAATGCCCCAATGCAGAGGTGACCATCACCAGGTCCATGGCCAAAGACCCTTCCCCAGGCCCACGCATCTCCTAACCACAAACCCCACAGAGCCCAAATCACCAGGACCACACAGATCAAGCCCCGTTACAGCCCCCCACAAAACTTAAGCTCTTACTCGGTAGTCGCTAGAGGTCACGTAGAAGATGGGCAGGAAGGCCAGCCAGATGATGCAGGTTGTGTACATGGTGAACCCAATGAACTTGGCCTCGTTGAAGTTTTCGGGGCATTTCCGTGTCTTGAAGGCATAAACCGTGCAAAGGACAATCAAGAGGACATTGTAGGTGAGCGAAATGAGCATGTTGGAGTCACGGTTGTTGCACTTCAGGGTGACGATGTACCTCTTGTCAGGCTCAGTCTCCTTGCCTGTGCCAGGGGTCTCCACCAGCAGCCAGATGATGACAATGATCAGCTGGCAAGAGATGAGGGCCATGCAGATGATCACCTGTGACGTGGGGCTTATGAACCGGGGGCGCTGGACCCCCTCCTTCACCCCACTGAAGATCCTGGCGATGCGATTTGTCTTGGTCAAGAGGGCTGAATAGCAGACGGCAAAGGAGGTGCCCAGCCCCAGGCGCCGAAGCGTGCACACCCCAGTGGAAGGCTTCGCGATGAAGATGAAGGTCATGCTGTAGCACATGAGGACCCCAGTCAGGAGAATGTAGCAGAGCTCCCGGCCGGAGGCCTTCACGATGGGGGTATCATTGTTCTTCACAAAGACTCCAAAAACGAAGAGAGTGGAAATAAAACCCAGGCAAGAGATCGTGACGGGCCCAATGGCCCAGACGTCTTTCCAGCGGATGTACTCTTGGGGCAACTCGTAGCAGCCATTCAGGGTCTCGTTGGGCCAGTAACCGAGACCGCAGTCCATGCAGGTGAACTCATCCAGCAGGTATTCGTAGGGCTGGCAGGGGATGCAGATCCAGCAGCATATATCTCCGGGCTGCATGCTCTTTATCTCATTTTTCTTGCAGGGGTCGCTGCACTGGGACACAGGGATGGAAGTCTCAGCCCATGGGATGAGGCTGGTGTTGAGGATGAGCCCCTCAGCCCAGTAGCCCACCTTCTGATACCGGTACCGCCCGTCCATGTGGTGGTAGTTGAAGATGTTGTAGCGCCCAATCCCATCGCCGTAGCGATCAAATCGAA